ACATGTAGAGTAGATTGCACATGATCTCCCCTCGGTTATGTTAGCTAGGAAAAATTCGAATTTGAGCCCTAGTGTGCTCATGTTAGGAGACTTAGGTTAAACACCAAAGATGGGTTTGAATAGGAATATGTAGAATATTTTGTGATATAAATGGTAGAAAAGACTTGTGCTTCTAAGGAGAAAAACATTGTAGCACATGTATCGTGGGCGGTGCTAATTGACCAATACAGGAAGAGAATTAATTCTTGCATCCTCACTATGTGATTCCTTGGAGGCGGGAGGCCATTAACTAATAAATTAGTGCCCTTAATGATATCCTTACTGACTTTCAGCTAGTGTTGGAAAAAGCATGCAAGGCACTAGGCGATTCTTGGCTGCTTTGCTTAGGCCCTAGGTAGTAGAGCTAGGCCTTTCATTTATTTTTTGGATTTTTTGGATGAACTTTTGCATTTTTTCTTTTTTTTTTAAAGAGAAACGCCTACACAGTGGTCCAGTGCCCCCCATTGCCTTGCGCTTTTTGCAACATTGCTTTAAACTATTTTATGAAGCAATGGATCAATGTTGCTACTTTAACGTATTCTGTAAGACTACAATAATTTAGCCTATGGGATGCAATTGGAAACTGTGTTGAATTAGAATGGATGGGTCATGCATTGGAAAGGAATAACATTATGTTAAAATTTTAAACATGTATCATTGACACACAATTATGTAATCTTTAAAAAATAACTTGATTGTAATTTGTAAATAAATGATAGAGTAGAGATGGTTAAACATAACTTTGAGGGGTTACGTGATTGTTCTTATAAAAATGAATTTACGATACAAGTATATAATTATCACATAACTAAGATGGTTGGTAGACATAGTATCAAGCTCCTTGAAAGATTAGTATGATGCATTTCAGTCGCACGACCACTTTTTCGTATGCTTTGAGAGTTCATCTAAGAGAATGGATGTGGAACACTTTATAAAGCCATTGACTATTCTACAAGAGAGGGTCAAACACATCATTCGTAAGTGGGAGATGTTGGCTAACTTGGGTACCCATTTTGGGTAACCTAGATGCAAAGAAAACAGAAACTAGTTGCGTGTATGATTACATGCATGGAGTCTACATGAAACACTGCTTTGCACACTTTCCCCCCTTGTGAATGGGCAAGAGATGTTGAAGGCTATTGAATATAAAGAAGTTTAAATGAACAACCCTCTATCTAAGAACATTTCAAGCTTTATTCTCTTAGATTTTTCTTTCAAGAATTAAGGCTCTTGAGCTAGTATGTGCATGCTTTCCTCATGTGATGACACTCAATTGAAGAGTAAATTACTTCATCTATCAAC